ACCTACAGTGGTAAATTATAAAACAAATGCAATTAAAACTACTTACATGGTGTGAAATTGATTTAATTAAGTAATGTATTGCTTGCTTAGTTGTGTGATAATTGCAATGTGTACCTAGGTATTAAAATAGGTTTGGTAACACCATTATGTTCTGCTGCTTTCACATTCGCTTGACAGGTTTGGTATCAAGTTCTGTATGGAATTGTAAAATGTTAATTTTCTTATATTTAATGAATGTGGAATGTGGTGCTTTTGAACTTACAATGGATTGTATCATGTATCTCTTACTTGTTCGCTTCAGTGAATATCGATCATATTTCTTGTCTTGATACTTTTGAAAAATTGCTTATAATAAATTTACCTAGTGTACATAAATTTGGCTACAATTTTATGTTTTGGAAACGTATTTCAAAATTGATGAAAGGGAGGTGGGAGGGACAAAATTCAAAATTTAGAAAGTGTACTATCTCGCAACTACTGAAAAACATTACGAACATTAAGTCTCAAAAGTAGGCATTAATTTATTCAACATACATCTACTAAAGGCAAACTAACCCTAAAGATTATCATGAATTTCGAAATAGAAACTGGACGTCTTTTGTGCTATATCCGCACGCATGACTACGTAGATCTTAATTTTCTTGTTTTTAAAAACTACTAACAGGTAATGTTTTGTGTTGCATTAAATAGAGACGGCTGTACATGTCTGGTAGTCTTGATATGCTTAGTAATAATATAGTTACCTACTTGTTCTACTTTGCACTTTCTCAACTCGTGCTGATAGTCATCATTTTTGCACTACCTCCTAGTCATCTTCTGGTTGACAGATTTCATAATATGTTTACATAAAAACTTGTCGTGAATTTAATTATATCGTGATTTAATATGTACAAAGAGGTCACCAAGAAGAGGGCATCCGAATGTGACCCTGTTAAATTAAAACACTCGTGCACTGGACGTCCCTTAACATAGGAAAAAACCTGGCTAACTCAAAGTTAAAGTTTCCCAAAAATATGCAATAAATCGAAATCTTGTTGACTAATTGAAAACGGAGCTTTTCTTTAAAATTTAAACTACTTAAATTAATAGATACAAAATGAGTTATTGAACAGTAGGTAAATTGAAATCATTACGATTGAAAAACCAGAGTAACGAAATTTTTACAATACCTCTATTCGTCTTCTATTGACGTTGCTTCGATCCTCATAGAAATTGTCTTGATTCAAGATTTCCCTACGTCGCCGTCGAAGGTCGTATTCGTGGTATATGAAGTTGACAGGAATCAACAATGGTCCGAAATATGTAAATAGAGTTGTCTTGCGTTCTGACCAGATTTCCTTAGCGGATTTATACGGTTTCCTGATGTGAAGGTGTGTCTTTGTTGTTAATGGATTAATTAGTGCCGCTTAGATTACGTAATGCACGCGTAAAATATTTTATTTCGTGCGAGTATAGCTTTTCTATGTTTAGTTAGCGTAATTGTAAAGGAAATTAATTTTGTGTTGCTCAAAACTGCAAGAGAAAACCACTCACATGAAGCTAGTACGAGGTTACGAATTACAAAATGCGAATTAGAAAATCTGCTACTGTAATGAACGTAGTTTTCTTTGACGCCTGAATTTTATTTAGGAACCCCGTCTTTCATCTAGTCACAAAAAATGTATAGTACCGGTTGAAATTCTAATTTTGATTAATACACACACAACACCCCTAAGCGTCTTTGAGGTTGGAGCTATCCGCTTGAGATTAATTTTCTTAAAATGTTCTCTTCACTTAATCTGCCGCAATGATTTCACTAACATTTACTTTCTTTAAAAAGTTTAGTTCGATCCTTTCGCAATTAAAATTTCCGCAAAAGTCCTTACTGTAAGGAGAGTGATGCTCGAACTACCTGCTTAAGCTGTAGCTGCTAATCTAAAACGGAACCACCGCAATTTTCGCGACCAGCGTCCCCTTTTCACCAATCGCAAGCCCAATTCTTATCCAATCTGTGGCCGCAGCGCTACATAAAAGGGAATCAACTAAACTGGATGGTTCATGCTATCTCTGCTCAAAACTCACGCATTCGAAACGCGCTTCGTTGTCTCGTCGTTAAACCTACTCGCGCTCACTCTTCATATGAAGCGGTACACATGACCCTTTACACATATACAATATCACCCAAAACTTTTTCTTAACACGAAACTGACAAGGACAATATTCTACCCTTTACATCTTACATGAATCTATTTCACAAAGCTATTTAGGTACCCTAAGACATTTAATATCTAAATCTAACTTGGGAAAAAATTCCCCTAACTCGCATTAACTCACTAAATCAGTTTAAATTCGCGCCTACACCGGACTGTGCCTTATTTTAATATTACTGATTCTGCATCAAGAAGCTGTACCTAGGGATTTTAGGATGTTACACTCATTAGCTTGAAGCGATGCTGTTTGAAGGACAAATAAAAGTTGTTAATTCTACCACAGGAATAATTGGGATCAAATAAAAACTACATGACAAATAATGTTTCGCGTAGGTACAGAAGGTGAATTCATAAGCAGAGAATATTTTTTTATTTATCTATGCAATTAGTGTGTTTTGCTTGATTATTATTAGCGTGTATAGGATAACCATTTTGAAAACAATAGATTGGCTGCTTCTTTGACCTAGTGAGTCGGCTTATGTATGACGTTGTAATAATGCCCTATAGTGATTTTGATTATATGTGTATACTTTGCTTAAGCTATCTACTTTTGACTACAATTTCGTTTTGGAAACTTATTTCAAAATTGATGAAAGGGAGGCGGGAGGGACAAAATTCAAAATTTAAAATTGTTGTCCATATTTATGGAAAATATACTTTTTAAGTATAAACTTCGTTAACAAACCATAGTGATGCTGTACAGTCGTTACTGTGAAAGCTTAAAGTTAGAAAAAATGGACAATCTGAGCATCACTTTTCAAAAATAGAAAAAAAGCATATTTTTTAAGAAAAGGCGAGTGTTTTGTTTTTTAAAACGTACAATTGTAATTCACAAGACCCCTGGATCTTTATTTTCTTGTTTTAGGTAGATTTCTATCTACCTATTGCAATAGTACCAGTATATTTATATGTTTATTATAGGTTTATATATATCACTCCCAAGAAACACTTTTGAGTTTCGTAATTATGAACCAATTTCGACCAACCTCTAAAGGTTGATATGTAACTCATAAATATCTCGGCCAAGTTCGTGAATCAGCCAATTCCGCCATTTTGTTCCAATGTGACCTTTGTATCTTAATGCGGTTAAAGAAATCTACGTAGGATTTTTAAATAGTAGTAACATACCTAATGTAGGGTTCAAAGAATAGGCTTTATGACATTAATTTTTAATTAATTAATTATTTAATTAAAGGTTGTAAGTAGTATTATTTTGTATGAACCACATAGTGCACTATTTGTGCTATTTCCAATGTTACTGAAATAACCTTTGCTTTAGTAGTAAAGAATATTGAGTCACACATTGATAATTTTTTAGATTTTTATGTCCGTAAAACCCTTTATCGATATGCTTCGCAAGGTCCCCTTTGCATATAGGTACTATCGAGGTTAGTTCTAAGTAATATGTCTGATCACCCAATGATATGTCCCAAACAAAGTAGGTATATACTTACTTGTTTCATGCGGGTATTGGGTCATCGGTGATGGTAATATAAATTAAAACGATGTAATTCCCAAAATGGACCTCTGTGGTACATCGCATGGTGAACTGAAATAATTCTTCATTTTCTGTACTTAAATAACTTTGTATTGATTTGAATAAAAATGACATCCAGTGTGATAAATGATATACCTTTAAACAAATTTACCTACTTTGCATTAGAAATGATTGTTCATTATTATTATTCTTGGAAAGCCCTCGCTCTACTGGCTGTGGTTTGAGACCAAATCCTTTTAAACGCATAGGGTTATGTATGCATATTAACCCACCCCAGGTTCGAAGATATTATGACAGATTTTAAGGCAAAGTGGAAACGTTGAAATCCCATCATTAAAACACAGATCCCGCTTAAATTTGAAACAAAAGAATGACACGTGATCGGATAGTCTATGGTAGGGCTTAAAGCTTAAAAAAATAGCTTTCTTTCCATGGCGATTGAAAAGATATTTTACAATTGTATAAAATATAAACTTCATGGCAAATAATACCTGTAATGCAGAAGCTAAACTCATAAGTGGCGATACTTATTTTTTAGTTCATGTAGGCAGTGTGCTTTTTGATTGTCTATTATTTGTGAAAATTGTTATATATACCTAACAGTTTGCAAATAATATTAACCATTTATGATACTCATTTTGACATGTCGTTCATTGGTTTGGCAAATTTCTAATTATGCATTGATATTAGAATAGAATTCTTTCGATATGCCTTGGATACTTTTTGTATGGAGATGCTGTACTCGGCACGTAAGAAGGCGAAAGATCACCCGCTGTGGTCTTCTTACGTGCCGGTACTAGTACCCTTCAAAAACTGCACTTTCATATATTATAGTGATCTACTTTTGGCTGCAATTTTATGTTTTGGAGATTTATTTCAAAATTGATGAAAGGGAGGTGGGAGGGACAAAATTCAAAATTTAAAGATTTTCTGTACATTCATCCATACGAAATATACTAAACTCGTCGAGTACAAATTCTAATAATCAGACAGCCACGAAAACAAAGTTGATTCGTGTTGGGTGTCATAAATGTAAAAAATAAAATTTGTTCAACACCAAACAAATAAAAATGGCACCAATCATAAATCATGCCCCATTTTTGAACAAAAAGCTGTTGTCATCATTCGTATGACCGTCAGTAATTAGTAGGCCGTTAAAAATTATAAACACCAATTCAAATTATAAAATATTCACCCCAAACTCTTGCTTTACTCGCGCTTACTCTTCCTATAAAGCGGTACATATGCAATTTTACGTATATCTAAAATTCGAAAAAATGCGGGCTCCCCTTACAGTATACTCTTTTCGTGAGGTCACCTGGCAAGTACGGTATTACTTTAATTTTGCTTGCTATAAATATCATTGTTCGTCATTCGTCAAAGCTACACTAGATTCCATTTGTCTTGATGTATTTTCCTTTTACCAATCCCAGCAACTATACAAATACGAAAACGTTTTATTTCCGTATTTTACCCAACGCTTATAATATGTTATCAGTAGCATTGTTTAATACATTACATTTAGTTTGCGAATGGTTACAAGAGGTTTGTTTCTTGAGACTTTTCAGTTTAGATGCTAAAGTTGCCATCAGAATGTGTGTTTACGTAACAGCGGAGAGTGTACTGGAGCCCCCACGGATGATTTTAAAATAATTTATACAAAATGCGCGTTTTCAGGCTATAAATGAAAAATTAAGCGGTTCCAGTCAAGAGTCGTTATACTTACCTCTTAAATTTAAAATGCACCACTTCCAATGGTTTTTATGCGCAATAATAATTAAGACCAAAACAGATAAAATGCCTTGAAATTTTGCACGACATCAAGTCGATTATTAATTTTAATTGTAGGTTAAAGTGTGATATGATCACTGACCTGAATAAAAAAAGAGGCCATTCTGGATATGATAGATTATTTTAAAATAGTGCAACACTAGCATTTATGAAAGAAGAACTGACAGAAGGCAAAATAATTAATTTATTAAAATAAAATTAAAATCGTAAGTGTGCCCAGTAAATTGTAAAAAATTCAAGTTTGTATAGGTTACTTTGGAATATACTTTGATAAATAAATAAATTGATGAAAGGGAGGTGGGAGGGACAAAATTCAAAATTTTTTATTAATTAAATTACGTTCATTTTAAATTTTATCTAAGTAATTCGGTCAAAAGAAATAAGCGCTAGAAATGTGCTAGAAATAATGTCAATATGAATGGTCAATGAGTCACAATAATATAAGGAACTGATTGTTTGAATCTAAAACATGTAGAATGTTCGCTTGTAATAATTGCAAGTGGTTCTTCATTATTAATAATTATTAAAGCAATGTATCGAATTATCTGTTTAACGATTTTTTTTCTGTCTAGTCTCCTTTCTGATGAAATGCTCACTGAACCACCAGGAGAACCGATGGAAAAACCGTGGATCGAGTTGCTAACATCCGGATTTGAAATCTGCGACGCACGACCCTTAGATCTCTACATTGTCTACACCTGAAATCAGGAGTCCACGGCCCTGCGTCATTGATTTTACACAAGTTTTTTTAATCAATTTCGCACTCTTTATAGATAGATGTGACAGTGCTTTAACGTGTAGGTCTGCGTATGTTTAAAATTGATTCACAAATCAATGACGCAGCGCCACAGACTCCTGATTTCAAGAGTACATCATCAAACTGCTCGATTTCCTTGCCTCTTTCCAACTGAATTGTCAGATCTAGTAACAGGGCCGTTTTCTTCTCCCTACCGATCAGCAAGATATCGAGGCGTTGGTTTGAGCCGTATTCCGAGTAGTACGGAATTCCTTGGTGCACTACAAAATCTTGGTCGCGGAATGCATTGATGTACGGTCATTGACAAAAGTAATGATCGCCTAATAGGTAAACTCTGCAGCATGAACAACCACATGCCCATCACATCGGGTTCCACCGGCTTCTTTAAGGAGAAGATGCCTTCATTTGTTGGTTGCACAATATATTCAAATGTTGGCTGCGTATGCTGCACGATTTACCTATTCGACGATCATTACTTTTGTCAATGACTGTAACATGTGTTGCGTTTATTAAATATGTGTTTCATGTTTCAAAGGTTTGACATTATAGTCCGAGAGCTGGTAGACATTTAAGGGTACGTATTTGAGGCACGCTGAAAACTTGTCCAACACTTCTCCAAGAATCCCCAAACACAGAAATGCAGACCTGGTTGAGGAGTGGCGGGGCTAACACTTTGCAAGTGCCCTTCGAAGTTGGAAAAAAATAATGTTATTGATTTGTGAATCAATTTCAGACATATTTAGACATACGCTAAAACCCTGCAACAACTATCAAGTAGGTATGCGAAATCGATAAAAAACTTGTCTGAAATTGATTGACAAATCAATGACGCAGGGCCAAGGGATTCCTGATTTGAAGTGTATACTGGCCGCAATAAATACATGAACACCTAGTGTAGGTACTTCGATCACTTTTGACGATAGTTTCAGGAGAATTGTCTTTATTTCGGTATAAGAAGATCATCCCTACGCATTCAGATACTCGACTGGGCATAGGTACATTCTTTTTTCAAACTTTGAAGGCGCCTGGCAAGGTGTTAGCCCCGCTTCTCCTCAGCCAGGTCTGCATTTCTGTGTTTGGGTATTATTGGAGAAGTCAAGAAGTGGTGGACAAGTTTTCAGCGTGCCTCAAATACTTACCCAAAAATGTTTACCAGCCCTCCTACTATTATTACCTACATAATATTTGATACAATACATAATTGTCTATATCGTAATCGTTTCTATGACGTTTATTTCATGAATAAATGACAAAAACATTTTACCTATACTTGTGTTTTATTTACCTATACCTATTTGTACTTGTGGTGTATACAATAGAAAGCAATAGAGATATGAAAATTTCAAAAAATTGTGACATTCCATTATTAATTTTGTGGTAGGTAAATCAAAGAATGTGCTGTAGTCAGAGCTGAGCAGAATACTTTCAAAAAGTATTTGAATACTAAATAGTAAATACTTTACACAAATCAAAGGTATTTGAATACTAAATACTTTTACGTCCAGCACAAGCGGATACTAGATACAGATACATTGAAAAGTATTCAAATACTTTAAAAAATAAGTATTCAAATACTTTAGAATGTATTCGAATACTTTCAAAGGTATTCGAATACTTTGAAAAGTATTTCATTAACTTACTTTGAAAAGTATTCTAATACAGTAAAAAGTATTCAAATACTTGTCACTCAAATATATTAAAAATTTAAAATAGTATACTAGATAAAAGTCTTAATACTACTTAAAAAATCAAGTTATACTTTGTATGGGGTTAGCTTTTTTATATTTCTATTGTTATAAACAAATTTAAGGGGAGTAAAAGCGTATTATTATTATTATATAGGAGGTACCTACCAGAACCTTTCTTACACCAGTTATATCCTTAAGAATACGTGTACCAGTTTTCAAAGCGATCGTACGTCGTGCATGATACGTACGCCTTTCTGAAATTAATCCTAGCGATTTTGGAACAGATCCATTTTTGACCATCCGTTTGTCCGTGTGCATGATAGTTTGTTTAGAAACGTACGATCGCTTTGAAAATTGGTATACATGGTCTTTCTTAAGGATATAAGAAAGGTCCCTATTATTTTTAAGTTACGTAGACAATCGAGTCAAAAAGTTTCACTCCAGGATCGTTCGGTATTCAGTTGTATCGAATTTTTATATTTGATCTTGTGACAATGGAAACTTTTCCTAAACATTTCTAAATTGTTCTCAAATATTTGAATAACTTAAAAGTACTGCCTTTTTTTGAGGCCGGAAAAAAAATTCTCTGAGATCGACCGACAAAAAACATTTTCTTATAGAATTTGGTCCGTAGAATCAATAATTTCAAACACTGCTCATCATGCTTAACGGCCCAATAGTTCAGCAGAAAAACAAAAAAATTTTTAACAACAAGATGATACTACACCATCAACGAATACGTTGATGATTGTAAAAGTCTATTTATATGTTGTGTCACGTGAGTTTAATGTTTTTTATGTATGACGCGTCCTATGTACTGTTGTATGCCAAAGGAAAAGAATTAAATTGAATTGAAGTGAGTTTGAAGATTGGGCTACTAGATCAAAAGTTACAGCCCTTTGAATTTTCTTTCGAAATTTGTTTCTAGTCTATAACTTTTGATTGAGAAGTCTAATCGAAAAAGTACGAATTGTTTTGGATTCTACGCACCAAAGTTAATAAGAAAAAGTGTTTTCCCGAGAAATTTTGGAGTAGTCATATTGACGTTATACTCGAATACATGTCTAATTAAGTGGGCTGGGTGTTCGTAATTTCACGATTGCCATGGAAATGTCACTTGACGTTTGATTATAAAAATCATCGTCTTTGTGAATTAAACGATTTCCGTTGAAAAAGATAATACACCGCCCATTAAATCGATTGTTGTAAAATCTAAACAAACGTTGGTAGGTGTAAAATCGAACTCCAGTAAAGCCTATTATAAAGAATATGAAAAGTTGTTTCCATGGATGAATAGGAAGTTACTTACGAATACATTCTTAAATGCATCCATAATGCTGGCATATATGAAGGAAATGCCAAAGGTATTTAAATCTTTTAATATTTTGGTGCATTCATTCAAAACTTTAAAGCAATGCTGCGATTAAAAAGTGGAACAGATTTGGAAGCATACCCTAAATTACGCGCGTTTGTGAAAGCTTCAACCAAAGGATAGATACAAAAGCCAAAGAAATGTTCTGCATTTACAGAAAGCGACCTAAGAGGAGTTTTTATTTCATCCAGATGACAGTTTCAAAAGTCATACTTGAAGTATCGTTACTTAGCAACTTTAAAGCACGTGTGTTTTAAAGGCCCTTTTTCGCACGCATTTGAGTGTTTAAAACGGAGATTGTGATTCAGGTATAATAAAAAAATATTTAATTACAAAGTATTTGAATACTAAAAAGTATTTACAAAATCGAATACCTACTGCCCAGCTCTGGTTGTAGTTTGGGATTTGTCATACGTAGTCGAGGTAGGTTATGGAAAGTTGGAAACTACCATCTTTTGTCTGATAACAGTTAATGTAAGAGTGGAACGTTTTGCTATAATTTTTATTTCGGTTTTTATTTTCTCAACCGAATGCTTTTTGGGTCGCTGAACACGAATTTGAAATTTGCAGGCAAACATTTGGTCCGGAACTTTGTTTTTTTGCACTTTTTATCCAAATTTTTGTGGTCTCATATTTATGGTCCTTCGACTAACTTCCTCTCGGCCTCTGTGATCGGTTATGTCATTTGGGTCAGTGTCCCTTTTTAGTAAGCGTCGTCTACCAGTTCTTTTATTTGAAATTTCACAGAGTCTAATAGGAGATAAGTAGATTTATTCTTTAATTAACATTTTCGAAATGAACCCATTGCATTTACAATCCTTACCGAATTTAACAATAAATGCACCATGAGATTTTCTACCCCGGCGATTAGAAAACGTTCAGAATGGTCAAATTTCGTGTTAGAAAAGTACCTCCAAAGAAGTACGTTTTGAATAAATTAAATAATTAAAAGCTTTTTTACATTTAGAAAGCGTTATACCTATGTAGGTACTTACTCAAGGACTCAAGATCATGATTCGGGGAATGCGTTAGTAAGAACCAATTTTTGGTAACTCATAACAAAAAACAAGAATTAGGTACCTATCTATACGAACTGTAGCCGAATTGCTAGTAAGAGTCAAAAAGAGGTTGTACTACAAATTCCAGAAGTTCCATTTCTGTAGGTCCAGGTAATTTCGCCTCCGGAATTTTGGTTCCCGGGACAAATTTGCCACTGCTAGAACACATCGCTTATTTGGATCTGACTTTCTCGCAACAAATTCACGTTGAGAGGTAGGTATTCGATCGAGAAACTTACACTTAAAAAACTTGTCGTTGGAACAACAGACATATATGCCAGTAATACCCAACATCAGATTCCTTCCCATCCTTCTAAGGTAAATTCGGCGCCGGAATACTTCGCAACTACCAGAGAATTGTTCTTAAAACAACTTTTTCTTGGAATAACTGGTAATATCCTCCTATCGGGATCGATGCCCATGTGGCTAACAAGAATGGAAACAACAAAATGACAAGGATGACACTCTTCACTCCATTTGTGTTTCATTAGGTACAATCAGAGGTAAAATAAATCAAAAATATTGTACAATAAATAGACAGTTAGTCCCCGAATGCCCATTCCCATATTTCGCCTCGATTATTAAGGGAAGACCGAAAAACGAGCACCCTGTATATGTCAAACGATGTACGTATTATGTATTTCGCTTTTCAGATTGCCTAATATAGCGACTAAATGATTAATATCACTAATATAGCATCTTATCAGATAGTCATATAAAATAGTATCTCCTATATCATAATTAAACCCAGTAATTTCATTACTGGCCATAAATTTTAAATATACAGAAAGCGACATTATATTCAACTTGCAATCTCAAAATGTTCGCTGAACGTAACAAACGTCTAGATATATATTCCTTGTATAAACCAGCGTATCTTTTATCTAAGGTTTTATTATTGGCACCGTTTTCATTACATCGCTCCGAATGTGAGTCAAAAAAGAAGTATTGCCTTTTGCAGGTGTTGCTGATCGGCTGTATGACGTACATTTGCTACCAATCTTTGAACGATGTAGTATTCCAAAAAAATTTTGGAAGTAGCACAATCGTCATGTACTTCAACAAGGTCCTTTCCGTACTGCAGATGATTGTAGTTATTATTATTTTCGTAACGTCGCACTTGTACGCCCAGGAAGCGCCAGACATATTAGCAATGGTAAACACTTTAGACAATATTGTAAACAAACACAATATGGCCGCGAGTACTGACTGCAATACATTCAATACCAGAATTGTATTACTGTACGCCTGCATGGCGAACCTTTTGATCGGGAAAGTATTGCTCGACATGTACTTGGATGGGATAATTTCTTTCGACAACATTTTTAAGTTTGCCTCTAGAATGCTATCTGGAGCAATCATTGTCCAATACGCGACCATACTAAATACGGTTTACTGGAAGATGAAGATAGTGAACGACTACATCGAACAATACAGTATTAACAAGGTTCTGCTCGTCAAGCAAGAATGCTTTTTTTTACTTCAGCAGATCTACGAAATTTGTCTAAAAGTCGAGAAAATATTTGGGCTATCTTTGGCTAGCGTATTTTTCGTAATTTTCATCGAGTATTTGCAAATGATGTTTGCGTGGCTCGCGACTTATTGGATACGGGGCGTTAAAATCACCGAGATTCTAAAACTATCTAAATTCGCTTTATGGACAACCATTATAAATTCCTTTTGGACTACCTTCGTTCACTGTAACATGCCCTTTTTCTTCGCCGATCGCATCCATAAGGAAGTATAGCACTCGTCGATTTGAATGTTTCATTTATTTGCGTTTTAGGCGAATCGCAGTGGAGAAGTTACCGGAAAACTTTACCATCAAGCTTTGGGATCCCGGCCATTGCGGAAATTCGTTCATCAACTTCAATTTCAAATTGCACAAAATAAAATCACTTTGACTGCGGCCAAGTTCATCAAATTGGGGTGGAACCAAACGTTTTTGGTATATTTTTACGTTGTGTAACTAGTTCCAGAAAGTATGATTTTAGATGTATGGTGGTGTTATCTCCTATTCAATTGTTTCGTGTCAGTTATACTTAAATGTGAAACAAATCGAGTTTGATTCTGCACACAACGTTACCGTTACTCAACAAGTTAGCAAATAAGAAAATATGGATTGATTATATTAATCTATTTTACTCGTAATTAGGTACCTACTTTAGTTTGGTTGAATGTACGCAAATCTTTTGATCGTTACAGACAGAACGATTAACGGGCTGAAGCGGTTCAATCAAAGGATTGATGCTGTGAGTATATGCACGAACTCCCCAACACCAACACTCAACCTTCTGCAGAGGTACCTCTAAAAAAAAGCATTATATGCGGGTCACTCTGTAATTGGACGCAAGCCTGTTGAGGGCCCAGAACAAGAGAGGGATGATGAATAAATAAATAAATAAATAAGCACGAGCCGAAAAGCAAAATACACCAAATACCTAATTTTCAATTATTTACACTTCGATCCAGCTATCCATGAAAATGATAAAAATACATAATAAGTAATATTTAAAGCTGTGATGGAGTAAAAAATGGGTTAATTTATTATCCCTAATTAGTGGGGACGAATGATGAAATGACTGGAAGGCAGTGAGCAGTATGAATTAAGGAACGAGTGAGTAGAAACGTAGGAATTAAATGGGAAATAAACTCCTAAAGTGGATCTAAAAAAGTGGCTGAGTACCTCGGCACATGGTATACCTATAGGTCTCAAATTTGCAAAGTTTGACCCAAATCGGCCCAAGCATTTGGCAGTCCATGGACAGACGGACACCATCGACTCCCCTATAAAGATTGCATCCCTTTGCTGTGCCGCCTAATAAAGTTAAGTTATTAAATTTTGGTTACATTATTTCGAACAGGAGATATTACAAGACAATAACTGGAAATAGGACTTATTATATAGAGTAGGTTTCTCGGGACCAATAGAGCATATTTTTTCTTGCAGTAATGCAATTTTTGCCGTGGAAGATGAAGAAATAACGGACTGTAAATGTAACTACGAACTTAAATTTATTTATAAAAATGAAAATATTAGTTCAATCGGATTAAATTAAAAATGTTATTTTCTTCACATTCTAAAAGCTGCAACTTTTTTAATTTGTAGACCTTCAATTTTTATTTGTTGTCAAAATATGCGCGCATTTATGCTCTAAAAATATGTCCTACATAATTTTTGTTAAATACATAAATAAATAAGTTAGTCTAAAAATGAAATTTTAATTTTTTTAAATATCTAGCATAGTTGGATCGAATGGGACTTTTAGTATGTTAATAAGACAGGGGTTCCCTACACATTAAAAAAATTCATTAATTCGCTTGTGAGCAAGAGGCGATCAAGAGTATACACATTCATATTTGTTTTTTCGATTTTAATAGTTCTTATGGACATTTCATGCCTTAACTAGAATACAAACATGAAATAATTTTTAATTTCTGATCGAATGACACCAATACCAAGTCTGTGAGTGGTGTAGTTCCGGAGCCTTTGTGACTCAGACAGACAGACAGACATCAAGAGCGCAAAAGTGCACTTTTTTATTTTTAAAAGTGAAAGTGCACTAAAAATAATTAGCTTGTCTCTAATTTGTTCTACCCTAAGACCCATATTGCCTGTAGATACTAAACGTCTCACTTGATGGTGAGCATGGAGTCAACCACCTAGTCCGGGTCCATACGAATCAACTTATTCATCGCTCATCGACTAAAAAGAATCCACCAGACGACATTCACTCCAGACTACCATTGGATATTCTGCTCGAGGAATACGATAACATATCCGAACCAGAACAAGAGACATTTCTTACGCCAGCATCATCGATCGGGGATGTTTCTGAAAATTCTGTAGCTTCTAATATCATGCCACGTGCAGTCGCCACTGTATACCCAGACCAACTAGAATTCGTGAAGCACCAGGGTACCTCAGCGACTATGTGCTCTTCTATGAAAAGGGTGTGATGTTGGCATGACAACATAATATAAATAGTCGGTACTTACCTAATGCGTCAATATGTCATATATTCAAATATCACAAATTTGTGTATTAAACCATTTAAATTACTAAATATTATTAATTATACCTAGTAGATATATTATGCATTTAATGAGACACGAGTATGAGAATTACGAAACGGCGAGTCTTGGCGAGTTTGCAGATTTCCCATGTAAACAAACATTTCAAAGATGACTCGACAGCAACTCATTTTTGATCGCATAGTATATGGGGTAGTTTGATCAATTTTGTTGTTTTCAAAGGTTTTTGCATCCTTTCGTAGTTAATTTATATTGTTCTCATTACGCTTATATGCGTTTTACACCCTTTTTATTGCTACATCTTTAATTGGGCGTGACTAAGCTGGTCAACTGCAATGTTTGCGAAACCGAATTCGAATCCCAAATTCCCTAAGCCAGGGATGGGGAAATAGCAGCCCGCGACATGGTTCGATCTGGCCCGCGGTCAGTACCAGTCATCTATAATCGCAAAAACAAATTTATGAACAGGACGACTGAGGAACATCTTGAGAGCGTTTTGCGAATTTCTATCACTAATTTGGAGTCAAATTTCGACGCTATACTTAAGTAATGAACAGTGAAAATTTCATTTGTCACACTAACCCAGGATATCGGAACAATAATTTTTTTCTGAAACTACTTTAGAAACAACTATACTTTCGTCTCTAAAAAGGGCGAAGAAAATGTGATTTTCCTCACATAGTTAATAAATAAAAAACAATTGCTGCGTCAATTTTAATAATGACATTTAAAATTCAAACATACCCGTATCTAGATTGCTATGTGTCAAACTTCAATATTGCATACGATAATTTTTCAATTTCGGATGGTACCTACTTTCAGAAAAAATGATGTGTATAAAACTTGAGAAGAAAGTGTTTTTCATCTCTGGATCAAATGACATACTCGCTACACCCATGTGTCAAGCTTTGAACTCGAGTTGAAAAACTCCACTTTCTTCTCTAGTTGTACAAATAAGTATTTTGTCCAGTTGATTTTTTCTGCTTCCGCTTAAATGCTGTAATTATTTTATATGGTCCTCTTTTAAGTATATTTATTTCCCCATCCCTGCCCTAAGCTAACCTTCCCCAAGTTCGGCACGCGCGCGTCCAGATTCAATTCAAACCATATAGTGCCGACTTCCGGCAACCTGAGAGTCGGCGGCAGAGGTCAATCCGTCATTTACTCAAGTTCACAGCTCCTTTTGTCGACGCAGTGCCAAGGGTTGCAACAGATGTTACCCTTCTCTACATGTATTCATACGAATACAAGCTTTTTGCCTTTTTTGACCGTCCACCACGGAAAGTATAGATTTCGGGTATCAAAAGGACAAATTTTATTGACATTTAAATGCTTCCGGCAGGATTTGCGCGTGGCTCGTTGTTTTTTTACATACCAACTGCTTAAGAATTCCTTGAAATGAAGTTACAATCGTCCAGACGCCCCAGGTAGGTCTACTAACTGGGCTCTTAGACTATTGAAGGAAGCAGAGGTACCATTGTTTAAATACTATACTAAACAATGTGTAAGTACACTCATTATAAGGTAGGTAGAGGTAGGTACTTTGTTGAGAGTTGTTACTATGTGCAGATCTTCGGGTTACCGCCTTATAGTGCTATAAATAAAAAAAGATGATTCATTTCCTTTGCAGTCTGCTGTCCCAATCAATTATCAAACAACCTTGAATTCTATTTTACACAGGAAAATTTTATATTTATATAAACGATATACTTATTTTAGACGTATCTATCTAGTTCCGGTTGTCTTTGCTTTCCTTCTATAAAATTGGTTGCACAGGAGCGTAGGAGACTAACAAAAATAAACAGAATTAATTGGATTAATGCTTAATGTTTAGCCATCCTTTTTAAATGGATGCACTATTGCAAAAGTTCTCCAGCTATCAAATGTTTCTGCCTAGTGGGGGTGAAATCAATTGTAGGGTCTGGAAAATAATTCACGTGCGCCACTGCCGACTGTATAACATCCCTTCCCTTCCCTTCAAACTCTTCCATCCTTTTTGAATTTAAAGAGCAATCTTCTTGCATTAGTTGAATCTCTCAGATAATTTGTGGTTTCATTGGCAAGATGTGGAAGACATTTCTAATATTTGCTTTGTACTTCATTATAAATATTCATGGATTGGAAGATGCTAAAAGCAACCAAATCACGTAAGTAACTATTTAAATATTACCAGAAGAAAATTAAAATCGTATTGAATGCAGCATTCCTATAATGAGAAAAAAAACTCCCAGGGAGCAATTGTTCATTGCTCCAAATTTAAAGCTGTATGGTATTGATTTTGGATGGCTCCATAAACCACCTCACAACCACACTTCTACAAATGACTCGATAGCATTGTTCCGGTATTTGGATGTAAGTAATATTTATTTAACTTTTTCTGTACAAGATTATAAAAATTGACTAAGTATAATAATTTTAATTGGTATTGGAAATTTTATTTATTTTGCAATAATATGTAACTTGCCCATTGTTGGAGAACCACGAAACTACATTGGATGGCAGCATTATGCACTGATTGAACATACTATCAAAGTTCGTTAAATCTTGACATAAATCGAACCTGATTAACTTTCGATTATCATTTCTGATATCTAGTAATCCAATTTCGCACTTGTAATTCTTGGCTTCGTTCCGTGGTCCCACATATTGCACCGCCCAGTAAGTATTATGGTTTCCCATATCCCGTTTATGACACACCCGAAATATATCACCGTTTACAACCATGCAATATACGTCCGCGAAATTGTTTTCGTAAGTAAATCCTGCGCACACCTTGGCGTAATTACTAAATTTACATTTATCCGCATGTTGTTCTCGCAAATGTGTAATAATACCGAGATAGGTACCGTCCCAGGAGCAGCGATTAATTTCCATAAATGGACAGTTGTACGGCCTCACTTTGCACTCCAGTTCGTGCTTATTTACGTCCGAAGCTGACAGTACGACATTGCATCCCAAATCGCGATATGTGCAAGGAAACTTGATACCGTTACTCATAGATTCCAAAGCGTAATTTCGCGTGTTACCGAATCCAGTGCGGCACGACGGACATTGTCCCAGCTTTGGTCTGCAACGATTGCACAAGCTATGGCCGGATAGACACTGAAAAATCGGTGGTCTCATGAAGTTATTACAAACTGGACATTCAAAAAAGCTGAGCAATTTCTCATCGAGCTCCTCGCATTTGTTATTTTTGGAAATTATTGTTAATACTGTTCCTACCATTGGCCCTCGTGAAAGTTGTTTCACCAAAGATAAATCGACTACAAGTGCATTATCTTCGTCTCCGTCCATTTTGAAGTTAACATCCTGTAGAATTTTATATTTGGAATTGTGTTGCAACGAACAATTGTCACCGCCTGTGTTTGCAGTTTGCTCTATTGAATATGAAAATTCTTGTGCCTTTTCAATGTTTCCGATGTAGTAGAGGAAGTAATACAATTTGGATTTGCTCACGTTGCATTTAGTGTGCACTATAAACTGTTCAGACTCCATCTGTAATATTTTGATTGTATCATTTGAAATTGAAATATCTACTTGTAACGGAAAGACGCCACTGTCGACCCTAATGACATCATCCAAGTGCTGCATACTAGCGTGCTTCGATATGTGCGACACGCCACCTTCCCACATACAGTCGGTTACAAATCTGAATGGACACCGGTAATTTCTGTTGGAGCACGTCGACATGTGAGATGAAACGGAAAAGTATTCCAATTTTGCTTTACATCCCTTCGAAGAGTTCGGACAAGGGATTGACAAAGTTTGTAAGATTACTTCTAAGGCGGAATCGTGTATTGCCACCTGACTTTCGGGTAACGTGCATGCACCACAAATGCGCCCGGTACCCGCTACAAAACGTATTGGCGGAATTAGGAATTGTTGGCATTTTTTACAGGAAAATATTGGTAAAGACATCAGAGTATCATTTAAATCGGTCCAAGTTTCCATTGGATGACCTAGAAAGTAAACACATAAATGTAATTTAACTTCCACTAATTATTTACATGTTATTTCCTGTTCCATTATTAAACAAAGAGTAATGAAACTATTATACTAAAAATGGAATGTTGACTAAACAAGTAAAAACAAACAGAATTATCAGTATTTATCACAAAAGTGATGACGTTAGTTCCAGTGATACCAACAAATGAATGTCACAGGTTGCTACAAAAACCAGGAGCGTCTCAATGGTTTTTTTTTACTTTATTTTAGCGTTATTTGTATCATTGAATTTAATAGTTATAAATTCAATGTTTGTATTAAGGTAGCAATTAGCAAATGATTATTTATTAGGGCTTATCTACGTATTTCATGTGAATTTAATCTGACACAAATTTTGTGTGACTTCTATCCCATTGTACGCACAATTTTGCCATTGGATAAATAGAAAGAAAGAAAAATGCAAGTGGATACACTAGGACTTATTGTTCAATTTGGACATTTACAAACACGTTTTACCTTTCGAAGTATTCTAATGAAATGTCTCATTGAATGGAATTGGTTTTATAGTTTTATACCAACTATCACCCTTTTCCCTTATCTCTCTCCCTTATATCCTTCACGGTAGGTACTCCAATGAAAGGTTTTTATTAAAAATAGTAATCCTTTCTTCATATTTTATAACTGCAGTATTGAAAGGAATTGGTTTTAATCAATTTTTACTGGTTTATTGGACTCAAAGTTTCAAATTTGTTTCAAACTATACTGAAAAATAAAAGGAAACGCTTATTTTATGTTAATTTTTACTTCTTTCTTACATTTTTCTCAGATTCTGGAAATGGAATGTATATACAGGTTCTGATAAATCTGGAAACGATCAGGGAAAATATATATATGTTACAGGGAAAGTGCGAAATCCAGTGAAATTACTAGTGATTGTACACATTCACTGAACAAACTCGTGAAAGTAAGAAATCGGGTTCAAAAGAATATCGAATTATCACATTTCCTAGAGAATGTATAAAATCACTAGGTATTCTACACAATCACTATAACGTATCAGTAATTGTAATAGTTAATATAAAATTTATTGTGAAACAAGCATTATACATACAATTCAAAACAACGTATCGATCGAAGTACTAATGGATAAGTAATATACCCACTCTAAGGTAACAATGGATGGGTATAGAGAAGATGATGAAGAAGATGCTATTTGTGACAACAAGGCAATGAACCATGACATTTAGAATTGCACAGTTTTTCTTGTTTTTTTGCAGAAACATCGTTTGGAATTTGACATAAACTACGAAAAACACACACAAACAAAACAGTCTCAATCGCACGTTACAACAGCTTTTAGGTTATGTTTATGTGACGTTGTGCAATATACCAAATGGCATTTTATTTCCACTAGAGACAAAAAGTAATTGTATAAAATCACTAGTGAAAGTAGGTTTATTGAATTGGATCCTACTTTGACTAGTCTTTTTAGTAAATGTGTACAATCACCAGGGAGAGTATACAACACCTGATTTCGCACTTTCCCTGTAACATATACAAATATCCACATATTGTATATTTTCTCCAATAATCGACGGTTTCCAGTCTTATCAGCGACCCTGTGTTGGTTGGGCTTTGGAAATATCTTAATTTTCTTCCAGGACACACGTTTTACCGTAATTCAATAAACAAAAAAAAGGAAATTAAGTACCTACTTATTCGAAATCTAGCGAGATTACATAGATAACTTTCCTATTGTTGACAGTAATGGTTGCGTTTAATGGACAACGTTTTGCCGTTCTGATTTAAATTTCGGTACGAAAATTTAATCAAACTTAAAGAAGCATTAAAATGGCAAACGTTTAATATAATATATAAACAAATATTTATTTGAAAAGAGATTCCTTTCTTGGACAAAGATGAAAGAGTACTACACATTTTTTGTAATCATGTAAAAATTGAGGATTGTATATTAAGCATTTATTTATGACAAACTCATTGTCTTAATGATATAAGGAATATCATACTGTATAAACTTTTTGTAATAAATTTTATATCTAAAGTATATGGAGATATTTTTTTAAATCGATATGAAACGAAAGCGGATGTTCCGCATTCTTTCAAGGAAATATGACGTGTTTGTCAGATAATACTCGAGAAAAGCCGTCGTTTGCTGTATAAGAAAAGTCGAATTACAGTTACAAATTTATTGTTAATTAATAAATGTAAATAAATAAATCACGTAATTTAATTTACGTTCCAATACTAAAATTATTCATGCAGTCCTTGTGAAACATTCTGCACAGGGGGTGTAAAATGGAAGTTAGAAATATGTACCGTACCGTTTTTCCAAAAGATTAATAGAAGCGTTCAATTTTATTGATCCGTGCAAATGGCAAGAGCACATTTCTGTTTCCAAAATTTTCAGACAGCAACTACCTACTTGGTCCTCACGATCCAGACCAGTGTTTGATAGTTACAAACCTCTATCCAATGGACTAATAATGCTTACAACTGCATCGCTATCAGGAGTTGAAACCCTAATGAAATATACCTAGGTTCCGGTTTCGCACTTCTTAGGGCGAATTATTTTTTAAGGGTTTCCGTACCCGTTCCGGTTTTGTGGGTTTAGTAATTTTCGGTTCCGATTCCAGTTTTTTTTTCGGTTTTAAGAGTTCCATATAAATAAAAAAGTGTTATAGGAAAAAATAATACACAAAGTAAGTACATTATTATTTCACAGAAACATATTTTTTAGGTTTAATTGAAATTTCCTTTTAGCTTGCGCGTTCGTTTCACATTTCACCTTCCTGGCGTTTTCTAGTTTCTTTTTCTTCACCAGTAGTTTTAATTATTGCTTCCCTCACACCTTTCTATGTTTGATTCGATTATCTTCATTTTCGTTATTAGTCACTCTAAAATAGGTATGCTGTGTTTGTTTGGTATTAGGACTATGTTGGTAGGAATTAGTAAGGTAGCTGTGAGTAAAAGAGGGAATTGTGATTTTTAGCGCATTTATAAGAAAAAAAAGTGGTATTGTTCGCGTTTTGTCCGTCCGTGTGTCAGTGCGGACCCACTTCTGCGGTTTTGAACTGCTTTTTAAGGGAATTTTGTCCCAGAGTTCTGGATTTTTTGCAATAAGTAGCCTATGCCTAGAAGGTCATCAAATTGCATGGAGTATGTTCTCTGCTCAATTAATTGCACATCGAACAGCTATGTTTCAAAAAAGCTTTAGTTATAATTCTGTGAAACTTTATCTCTCTTCCCTCAATCATCGCGAAATATCGCGGAAATGATTTTAAAAAACATTTAAAAAGGCATATCTTTTGAATCATAATCATAATTTGGGATAGTTCTTGCAGATGTATAATGCTGTGTTTTTTTTTGTTTTTTTTTGTATTCTATTATCATTTGATTATCTTGTGTTGTGCATATTTAATTTGTGTACAACTTATTTTCATGCTTTCTGGTTAAATAGAATAGGCAGAGTTCGCCGGAGAACATGTTCAATAAAGACGATTTACTATTATTTATTATTATACCTATTATATTAGGCATGTATTTCAACTTTTTTTAGTCCGAGTTTTATGGAAAAGTTCAAATTGGACAAAAGGCGCAAACGTTCAATATGGTTTTTGATACTGCTTGGCGCACATCATGGGTAATCTCAAACGATTGTCCCTTCACCACTGTGGGATGCCGTACGATTTGTTTTATTTAATACTACCCGCAATATACCTACTCGACTCATTTCAGTTGGCCACAACAAATACGACCATACCACCTCGTTCACTTACCGACCAAACGGAACCAATTTCTTAGCGAATGAGGGACCGTATAATTTAACGGGCTACTATTCAAATGACACTTTTTTGGTGAGTTTCAAAAGTGTGTATTTTTATAATTCGGTTCGTCATAGATTGGACACACGCGTATAAATGGCCAACTTTTCGTGGAGATGACATCCGTCCCTGCCGACTACGCCCTATACAAATCGGACGGAGTAATGGGTTTAGGATTTAAAGTGGACAGCTACGATCCATTTTTTTACAGCATGCTAAAGAATAAGAGTATCGAAAAACCATTGTTTTCTGTTTATCTTAATCGGTAAGAGGAACGCGATTAGTACACCGGATCAATTCAGCTCAGCAGTTGATCCGATTTTCAGTGACCGACAATCAAATAGGGGTGGTAACTTAATGCTAGGATTTATAGACAAGAAGCATATTCACCAAAAGCAGGTACCCGGTCAAAATCACTCGATTCCGGAACAAATCACTTATCTGCCCGTTGACCCTTCGAATGGCTATTGGCAATTTAAAATGGACAGGTAAGCTCCTGCTTTTTTTCAGTTTTTTTTGCCAACCTTGTTTTAGGATTGTGGTAAACAAAACAAACAAGAATGAAACTTACCCATATTGCGTTGGTGGATGCGATGCGATTGTGGATACAACAACAAGCATAATAATTGGACCTATGAACGACATAAGGGCCATTCATAAACTAATAGGAGCTACATCTGCAATCCTAGGGCGTAGTCGTGTTAAGTGCGATACTGTCAATAAGCTACCTCCAATCGATTTTATGTTGGCAGGGAAAAATTTCACACTCAAAGGTCCTCAATATGTCCAGAAGGTAGGTGACTGTTTATGTACTTATTAGCGTTCTAAAATTCTGTGTATTACAGATGTCCATGGGCCCGATTCAATTTTGCGTGTCTGCTTTTATGGGATCTGCTGATCCAAACGAGCAGAAAATGTGGGTTTTAGGAGCATCGTTCTTATCCCACTTCTATAGCATTTACGACGTTGCTAATAAACGGATTGGATTTGTTCTTGCGGCATAATACTTTTTGTATTAATGATTCGATATTTTTTTTCGTTTTCACATATCTTGATATATAGGATGCATTTAGTTTGTTTATTTACTTACTCCTTATCCCATTTAGACCACCACCACGCCGTGCTTTTTTAGTACACAATTTTCTTCTAGTTACAGAAAAAGTTCTTTAGATAGTATACTAAGCACCAGGTAGGATATTGGTGAGTTTATTTTCACACATTTATAGACGAGGACAGTATTTTGATTATGGAGAAAACGAAAAGCCTCAAAGAAGTTCGTTTGATCAGATCTATGATGAACATCAGAAAATTTCGATTGTTAACATTTCGGAGCTTATCAAAGAATCGTCGGGTGCCGACTTGTACAAATTATGGAGGCGTGAAGTGAAGTTACCATTATACAAGTGGAATTAGGAAGGTTGTAAGCTTCGCAGCCCTTTTGTTTTCAATTGCTATAGAACCGTTTCTTGTTTTCTCAAGAATATTGTTAAAAGGTTTTCCCATCCCGTTCACTCCTTCGACAGTTGAAATTAAAGTTTACACGGACGACGCACTATAAACCGGTTGCATTAGAAAGAATAAGTACAGCATGGAATTTGGCGCAGTAGGTACTCAAAACGCAGATAAAGCTAAAGATTTCCCTAACGCTTTTAAGGTTTTGGACAGCATTCTCACTAGCGCCAAAAGGAAATGGATAAGAAATTATCTTACTCTCTTCCTGATTGGGCGTAAAAAAATTATGAACAACTGGCACCTAAACATTGAAGCAGGAGAATTCCTACATTGGAAGGCTATCGCAAACCTTACGATTAGTGAATGTGATGATGATTTGGGCTTCGCTTGGTAGTGGTTCTTTATGTAAAAAAAGCCATAGCCACAAAAGAGATTCTCACATCCTAAGGAAATCTCAATTAAGTAGGTATTGTTTAAACTAAAATCGAGATTAAAAACTACACCAGAAGGCTGTACTAATTACCAAGGAAAATAATTTTTATGTCTATTACTATCTAAGATATGATACAAAATTTAGTTCTGGAGATGAAAAAAGTCGAGATCCGAAAGCTCTGCAAGGCAAATAAACCACCCTGTATGGAGTAAATTTCTGCGGAAACAGGGTGTATATAAAAGGTCAACATAACCTCAATAAATCTGGTACATAACCTACGTATAAAAGTCAACAAATTTAATTACAAATTCATAAAACAATGCGGCTAACTCAAATATTTTGTACAAAAATAGGCGAATGGACCAAGAAATACGCAAATTTACCAGATCGTTACATTAAACGTACAATGGAGCAGGTGTATTGGCGGAATCCCAAAGGCATTCAGTATCGACCAAACGTAGTGGTCAAACGTAAAAAGTTTCATTTCAATTTAGATCGACCGTGGAGTGCACAGTTCGCAGAAACAAATGCTAGGGGCAGACTTCATCCGAAGGTGTTTGTTGAGCCGATTAGAAAGTGGAGTTATTTTAGGGGCGATCGTGTCGAAGTTCTTGCTGGCAAGGACAAAGGGAAGCAAGGCATTGTTAAATACATTGTGCAAGAGAGAAACTGGGTCTTGGTCGAAGGTCTGAATTGTAAGCTTAATAAATTGGATCGTGGCGGTGTAACACTTTACATACAAGAAGAGCAACCGCTTTTAGTAACTGATCAGGTGGCACTGGTCGATCCTTCTGACTTGAAATCTACCGCTTTCGAATGGAGGTATACTGAATCTGGAGAACAGGTGCGAGTGTCAACACGAACTGGTAGGATAATACCAATACCTGCATCGGCCGAAGAGACTAGAGATTATAAAACTAAAGCTCTTTATATAGACCAACCAAAGGACACTAGTGAGAAGGCTTTAGGTGAAATTACCTTTGAACCTACTCTAAAAACATTTGAGATGGATATTATGGAGAAAATGGGTATAAAAGAAGATCGAATTCCAAAGAAAAGTTATTGGTATTAAGTGAAAACATTGTTTAATTTGTATTGTATTCTATTAAATATAAATGTTTGTGAAAATGCTTCATTTGCTGTCGTAACTTTTCTTACTTCTGCTAGTTCTCTAGTATACCTATAAATCTTTCAGAAATGTTTGCAACAGTAGAATGTCATTGTTTATATTATTTAAGCAATGCTTAATATGTACCCTGTCCCACATGGGCCTCATGCCTGCTGCTGGCTACTGTATTGTTGGTTGCGTTCATATGGCGCATTATTATATCATAAATCCTTAAAAATGACCCTGATGGCTTTGCTGATGGGCTTATAGACGCAGAGCTGGCTACAGAAAAATCTGTTACGGTTACCAGGCTGATTTGTTGTGTAAAGTATCGTGATTCTGATATATACCAAGTAGAAATCGTAAAAAATCAGCCCTGAGCTACATCACCCTATAGCCACACACACTTACTTTTTTTATGTTAAAATATTGGCACGAATGAATCGCACCCATGAAATACACTATTGCACCCATTCCACAAGGAAGTTTTCATAATATGTATGCCGGTGAAGGGGGGGGGGGAGCAAAGCGATGTGAGTCTTCCCCGCATGAGTTTAACCAAAGAATAAGTTACTCTTTGGTTTAACCTAGGTCGCACTTCATCGTACCCTAAAAATAAAACATAGTTGATTGGATACAAAATTCGTGCCAATATTGTCACGTAGAAAAAATAAGTGTGTATGCGAGGGTGGATAGGGTGACATAGCTCCTGTAACGGTAACTCACATTTTTCCTCGCATTCTGCTGTAGCCAGCCCTTAGACTATTAGTAGTTCAGTCTTTGAAGGTAAAATACTGAGTTACCTTTTATTTTTTAGAGGTGAAACTCCTATCCCAAAATATATTTATAATTGTGAATTTTACGTTTGATCGATGGAAATTTCCTCGGAAATTTCTTTTCAGTGAATGAACTGAACAGTGAACACCCCTACCCCGCTCACCGTCATGTTATAGAAGATTCACATTCGAAGTTGCTTACTTACCTGAAGCTAAAAAAAATTCGACTCGATTCGATTTTTGGTGCAGTAACGATGCACCTAATGACTAATCAGATCTAAAGATGTCAAACTGTTCCCTTAATAATCGCGACCGAAGTTCACAGAAAGACGTTCGAAAAACTTCGTTAATTTTGCCAAAAGGGGCTCGGATAGAAACGGGTGATGACGCATACATAAATACTGGAACGTAAACGTAATACGTGATTTATGTACCTATACAAAATGTACTATTGACAATTACAATTATTATTAATCAATAATTATCACACATACAACACGTACATTGATAACACTTATAACACTAGCACGTAGATTTCCCTATCACTTTGTCATCGATGTGAAGACTAATACTAAACATATTTCAATTTGTTTATTACAGCAAACAAGGGGATTCTAGGGAAGTCTTAAATCAACATATAATAGTTTATGGAAAGATACACATCAGGTTTCATTTCTTATCGCCGGTAACCGTCATATTTTTGCAAGTGATCGTACGAGGGGTGGCCCACTAAGGTGTTATGGTGTAGGTACACTTGGCTGGTATTATAATACCTAGTAGAGTAGATACTTTCATACTGTTTTTAGCGCATTTTTGGAAAAAAATAAATAGAACACTCTACGTCATTGGTAACACATTTCAATATACCCCACGTCAATAGTTATTTATTGTACAAGACGATATAGGGATATTTAACCATTGAGTGAAAAATGTTCACTTTCACGAGATGGTTAGTTTCCCTTTATCGTCGTGTATAATACAAAACTTTATTTTATAGTAGAAGTTTCTGACAATCCTGAATTTAATTTAGAGTCAAAAATAGTAAGCTTAGGTTCTGCCGTCGAGATCGTTTCTATAGAAACAGAATCGCCATATGTTCTGAACGTCATTTTATAACGTGTATTGAAATAAGAATGACAGATGTCATTAGAATGCACAATCATTTGTTTCACTTTATCTATCCTTACGGTTAAAGAACGGCTTATCCTACTCATGCAAACCTATTAAAATGTCATTTTAACATTATTGCTATAAAATAATAGTTATTTATGTATCAAGGGCATTAGGGCGATATTTATCCCGAGGGCGACAGAGCCCGAGGGCCTCCGGCCCGAGGGATTATAAGTCGCCCGAGGGTTAAATATCGAGTAATGCCTGAGGTGCATACAAAATTTTATTTTTCATCGTTTCAATGCATTTCCAATATACAAAGGTAATGATTATTGTTTGCCAATATTAAAGTGCTTCATACGAATCAAGTACCTAGCATCTTTTTTTATTACATAATATAACTCCGTCAATATATTTGACAGGTCGTGTGAGGGCATAATGAAATGACAATCCATTATGCCCTCTCATTATGCCCGCGGGCGTCATAGACTACTTTACATATCTCATATGACAGATATAATTGGCATATAATAGGCAAATGAAAAATAAAGGTTTTTAAGTTATTCAAGATTTTTCAAAATTTTAACGTTTGAATGCTTTTCTTTTTACTCTTGTACCTATTAGGTACTTCATTGGCTTGAATTTCAAAAAGTCTTCTAAAAGCAACAATACCAACTTGATGCTACGCGAGAATGATTTAATTTTGATGGGGTTTCTACAGTGTGTTTTAAAACTAATAGTCAATTTAACTTCAAACTGTAAAAAGTTAATTTTTTCTAATGAAACTTGCTTTACATCTTTTGGCACTTTCAGATATCGAATACAATTCTACATCGATCAATTATTATTACATTCCCAGCTATACCTGTGCCTATACTTATCTGCTATGATTTTCGTTTTATTTTAGATGAGTAGAGAATTAAGACTGTTATGCATACTTTTCTTAGGAGCCCTTTACTTGAAATAAATGCGTTAGTAGATGTCATTGTGTCGTTCTTGGAAACATTGCATGGGGAATGACCGGTTTCAACTTGATGGAGCGCCCAATATGGTTATATGTCTTTGACAAACATTTTTGAAAAAGAGTGAATTTTGCCCAGCGAATCCTATTATGTTTTTTTTAACAACGGTAGGTGCGTAGTACCACAATAATAACGGGCGATCAAAAATTAACGTGTAACACTTACCGAAGATGAGAGTCAAATTATCGACTTATCCAAATTATCCTAATTGATTGTTAGGTTAATAATATTCAAGCGAATAAAATAACATAACACTGATTGTCACACCAAGCATCGATTTTCAGGGTTAGGCGGAGGAGCAGGACGTGATATCTATCGTCGACTGAACCTCGCCCAGTTCTGTTATTTATAAGTGGTTTTATAGTTATTATTATGTATTAGCCAAGAGCAATAAAGACAATTTATTATTATTATTATTATTATTATTATTATAAAAATGAGTTGCTGTCGAGTGACCTTTGGAAGTTCAAGTTAAATACGATTTTCACTTATAATTGCACAAGAGGTTTGTATTTTACCGAGTAAATTTGGGTTGTTTAGGTAATGAAAATCTGTTACCTAGTAATTAGACGAGAAAAACTGTCAACTAATAAAAATGCGACACCGCAGGTGGAGCATTTTTAGGTTGACAGTTTTTCGAGTCCAATTGCTAAAAGGAAACAGATTTGAATTGCCACAACCCAAATTTACTCGGTTTAAATACAAACCTCGAGTGTAATTCGGCAGGACAATTTAACGAACAAGAAATTCACCAAATTAATCAATTATTGACAGACGTCAAACTAGTCATATGGGAAAGGATAATGCGATTATTGGTTCGAAAATGAATAAGTGAAAAAACCACTAGTGCATTTGTCGCTGGAAAAGTTGCAGGTAACTTTTGCCGCTGTCAAAGTGACAATTGCACTGCGGCTTATGCGATTTTTTATACATGAGTTGAATTGTCACTTATAATTGCACAAGAGGTTGTATTTTACCGAGTAAATTTGGGTTGTTAAGGTAATGAAAATCTGTTGCCTAGCAATTAGACGAGAAAAACTGTCAACTAATAAAAATGCGACACCGCAGGTGGAGCATTTTTAGGTTGACAGTTTTTCGAGTCCAATTGCTAAAAGGAAACAGATTTGAATTGCCACACCCAAATTTATTCGGTTTAAATACAAACCTCGAGTGTAATTCGGCAGGACAATTTAACGAACAAGAAATTCACCAAACTAATCAATTATTGACAGACGTCAAACTAGTCATATGGGAAAGGATAATGCGATAACTGGTTCGAAAATGAATAGTGAAAAAACCACTAGTGCATTGGTCGCTGGGAAAGATGCAGGTAACTTTTGCCGCTGTCAAAGTGACAATTGCACTGCGGCTTATGCGATTTTTTATACATGAGTTGAATTGTCCATGTAAACAAAAATTCCAAAGGTGACTCGACAGCAACTCATTTTTGATCGCATAGTCTATGGTAGTGCGTAGATCAAATTCTCAATTGATGTTTGTTTTTTATATTGTCGGTTGTTTCTGTTATTATCTTTAGTTAACTTTGTATTCATTAAAGTAAATATGATTCTTTTCACATTTAGTGATATAAACAACCATCAACAGCGAACGATTACAATTATAAATTTATAACCATAAAAATATTTGTCTGACAGATTTGCTAACGCATTTATTTCAAGGCCTTCTAATTATGCATAACGGTCACAATTTTAGAAAATCAAAAGAAAAACGGAAAGAATAACAGAAAGGTATAGGGAATGTAATAAGTGATCGATGTAGAATTTTTGCGACATTTGAAAGTGCAAAAAAATAAAGTAGGTTTCATTAGCAAGAATCATTTTTTTACGGTTTGAAGTTATTAAAATTGACCAGTGGAGCAGCTCACGGTAATAATCGCTCGCTTGCTACGGTACCAGTAGGTACTATTTATGCCAACCACCTAAATCCTCCGTTAACTATAATACTTAGGGCCGATGTTTCATATTTCACTTAAATTTATCTGACAGAGATCTTCCTAAGTCGATACTTTTGTTTCAATGGAAATTAACTGTTAGGTAAGTCTAACGGTCAGATGCCAACCCGGCCTTTAATCATTGTAAATTTGTCCATGAAATAATGC